AACATCTACAGAAATATCATTCGTTATTTGCTTACCACCTGTGATCTCCTTGAATAACTTCCAAATATTAGATGGGGATTTACATGAAAGAAACTTCTGGTTACAGAGATCATTCAATCTTTGTAATTCAAGTTTAATCAAAGTGTTTATTCTGTTAACACCAGATTGATTTTTCATTTTGAACAACCTCTCTTTTTCACGGCGGAGCTTTTTGAGTTGAGAAGAGGAGAAGCGGTCGTATTGTAAGAAGATTGTTTTTTTTCGACAACAAACATCAAGACAGAAATTAAGATAATGTGTTATATTGGTAATTGTGTTATCAAGAGCTTGTTCAGTAAATAAATCCCAGTTTGTGTCTTGTAACATGAACCGCAGATTCAATATGTTGTCATGGGAATAACATCTGTGTTGTGTTATCTCTCCAATGTGTGAGAAGACCGTTTTGTGCTGGTATCAATATACTTTGGGCAATATTCTTATGAGATTGTGATCAGAATTTAGAAGTGGGGCTCTTTTTCGAGCTTCAAATATTCCTGTGTCATTTGTAAACACAAGATCAAGAGTGTTATCCATTCTAGTCGGGAAGTTGGCAATATTATCGTGTCCAACTGAAATTAGGAAGCTGTGATCACAAGAATTAAAGTACTACTTGATTCTCAGATGACTTGGTATAGTTGATTATCGGTGAACTAACTAACCTTGTTCGAAGATACTTGTTTTCGCGTCCAAGTTAGGCTTTACGCATGACTAACCACCAATCAATCAGTGAATGACCTTGAATGGTTAAATAATGAATTTCATCCAGGTTAGTTGGAGGTTCTGTTCTGCTCGATTCGAGTCAAATGTCTACTCACCAGGCAGTTATGCTTGGTGAGTTTGCTGACGATAAGGATTTCGAGAGTTGCTTGGATGTGGGGTTGCTAAGGAAGGAAAGGATTTGTTCATGTGGAAGTGTCATGAGTAAGCCAAACAAGCTTTAGCAGATCGATTGATGGAAATGCCCACAGTTGTGCCCACAGTTGTCTGAGACGAGTTAATATCAGGGGGAAGGTGAGTTGATGATTCTGATATATTTCGTAGGAACATTTTATGCCAGCTCCCATTTGTCGGTGGTAACTCAGATTTTGTATTTGTATTTTTGAATACTGGGTTTTAAAACAGTCTGTAAGATGTCCAGCTGCTTACATGTAAAAATAGACCCATATGAACTGTTCAGTGGTACCAGGAGTCCAGAGACATCGTGTCGTGGGTAAGCGAGAGAGAATTACTTCGTTATTAGAAGGAGAATGTATCGTCACATACACGTGGATGAAACACAGCCTTATTGTAAAAAAAATACAACCCTGGTGGTGATAAGTGAACAAGAAATGGTTGGGTGATTGGTTTTTATGACGCCTCCCAACAGAATGGATTGTTTGAGAGGATAGCAGAGAGAAGGTCGAATACCTATTATTACTTGACTTGTGACACGAGGATCTATGATACACATAGATCAATGGGTGGAAAAGGGTTATAACTCCTTGTCATCCCTTGGATATATATATATATATATATATATATATATATTCACTACAGAGTCAACCACTCTAATGATTTTATGGATTCCATTACACAGGAACCACCGACACCCTAATGTTATAGAAGGCTTTTCGGGAAGGTTAAACAACAGGATTACAGCTATGAATGAATTGAAAAGCAGCGGCGGTTCTTACACACCTTTTGATGCATGATATACATAGGCTGTGGTGTAAATTTTCCATCGATACTCTTCCTATGCTAAACTGGGGAATGTTTTTATCACATGCGTGAGTAAGATATTCTCTGCAACACTTCTCTACAGTTTTCATGCATTTTAAAATAAATCTGTATGTTTTCCAAACCCTAACCAAAACACGCCTCATTCATGTGATTGGTTAGTTGATGGGGTTGTAAGTTGGTTGGTTGGTTGGTTCGTTGGTTGGTAGTTAGCGGTGCTTAATGTTTAATTTTGCTCTTTTCTCTATATTTGTCACCATCTATTGGATGTGTACAGCTGCTACCTGACGACACTGTTCAGGTAATTGTGACTATTTGATATTCTGTTATTAATATTATTATTATTATCATTATCATTATTATTGTTGAAAAGTCTGTGACACAATTTCACAATAATAATGTTCTATCGCAAATCACTGGTGATTTTTCTGTAGCTGGGGTATTTCGGTGACTGTTGTTAACCAAAGAATTCTTTAGTCACTTTACTCACAGTAGAACGGAAAAATTGATCTTCGCGTTGACACCACCACAACACGTTGAAATAAACTTTGATACAACTCATTCATTTTCTCTTTAATGTCGGAAAAGACACAGTGGATAATAGGAGTCGGTTGGAGGGTTTCAGCATGTGACATGCTGATATCAGTTCGAGAACCATTGGAAAACCAGCCACAGGGAGTAATGCCAGACAGCGGTCTCGTCCTCTTTTGAAACTGCTTCTTCAATAGTACGCACGCACTCGCGACACGGGGTTCGAAACCAGGCTAGCGAGCCTGTAAACCATTGAGCGTTCTGCTGGAGGGTCACAAAGCAGCGTGGCGAAACAGATTTCCAGTACTCTCAGGTTTTTCAATGGTTGTCTAACTGATGTCAGCTCATGATGAAACCCTGCAATCAACCACGAAGAATCCTTACCTTTCGATTACTTCAAGATGATAGGAATAGTTCAGAAGGCGGATGCAGTGAAGAAAGTTTTGCTTTTCGACGAACGAAGTCAAGATCAGCTAGGCTGTGCATTCGTGTATCTACGTAGTGAATGTGTGAGAATGTTCTGGAAATACTTCAGGTCCAAGGTCAAATTCATGAAATTACAAAGTGTAATCATGAAGACGATTGGATTTAAAAGACATAATACAATCATAATTACTGAAACACTTCACTGTTTCTACAAATTACGCACTAAGGACGAGTAGTAATAACGGACAGGTAGAAAGTTCGAACAAACATCAGAAAACCAAACAACAACCAATCTGGTAATGCAGATAGGAATTAAAAACGTAAAAATAAGAAAAGTAAACAGGAAGATTGGACAAGAAAAATAAGTGTGGATAATCATTATTGATGAGACTGAAATTTCATGATGGCCAGGGGGGAAAAACGGTGGCCCGGAGTTGTTTCTTTTGAACAGACAGTATAGGCTTAAGCATTTGCATCATCAGTGCCTGAGCTGTTCTTAGATGCCTAGATTTTACCCTTTTTGATAGGTCTTATCGGATCTTGTATATGAATTTGAAGGACGTTTCAGATTGGGGCTAGATGTCCAGAGTTCACTAAATGTTCTGTTACCGAAATGTATACAACACCCATGTATTCTCCCTTTGCTTATCAAGCCGGACAGTGAGATCGTGAGCGAGGTTTTACAAGTGAACACATGGTACAGCCAATGTATTCGGCTCTACACGAGCAAGTACACTGGTATTTGCATTCCGAACTGGCCTGATCAGACAACTTGTCTTTCCCATACGCAGTTGCAATTTTATGAATTTAACTAACTTATGGCCAGAACTAGGTCTGCAACGTCCTCATATATATTTATTATACACATACACAAATGTACAGCCTAACTGACGGTGGCTTCAACGAAAATAAAACATTTTTTCTTCACTGCATCTGTTTTCTCTCTAATAATTTCTTTAGGCTGTTAGTAGTGAATGCGACGGGACTCTTTTTCACACGAATCCACACACGTTTGAAGTTAACTCTAGAAGTCATCGAATTGTAAACCCAAAAGGAGACAGCGCTACTAATTTCTGATGTGTCATTCATTCTTCAAGAGGAATAAAATTTGATTTTTCTGCGAAAGCAATTTTACTACTTAAATCAATTTAAATCAGCATGATCATGACATTGAGTAGTAGTAGTAGTAGTAGTAGTAGTAGTAGTAGTAGTAGTAGTAGTAGTAGTAGTGTGGTGAGAGCAGGCTGCTAGCCGATTGGTTGGCACTAATCTACGTTAAGGTCTAGGTCACTAATATGGGCCGTGAACAAGGCTGAGTCAACAACCAATCACAGCGAAGTTAACGTGGCAAAATATGATTCGCAGATAGAGAACTCTGTTTGTCAAGGAATCCCGAAACAACCAATCAGAAGCCTGCGTTTGTCTACCTAAACAACCAATCAGATGACTGCGCTTGTCTATAATAATGTTGTCTGAAATATGTCTAAATACGTGTTGATTTTTATAATAAAACGATCTGTTGCCTGGCCCTTGTCTTCTGTTGTTACATTTGGTGTCGCTGCCTACCGACAAATGAAAAGCCTATACCATGCAGTTTTTGATGGAGACATATGGATCTTCGGGCAGGACTTCAAGGCTTCTGCGCAGTTGAGTGGCGTTCAAGATCTGTCAGCGATGGAGCTGCTACTTGAGACGCTGCTGGGAGGTCGGGCGAAAGCAGCATATGAAGGTGTGGGCCGAAGTATGGACGAATGTTCGACAGGGTCAGGCAAACAGTTTCCAAAGTGGGAAGGACCATATATGGTCACTTCGAGATGGGGTTACGCAGACACAGTCGCAATGGCGAACAATGAGAGGCGCGTGAACGTCAGCGAGCTCCAGAAATGGATACAGCGAGACAAGCCAACGATGACGCCTGCACCAAATAGATCAAGCCGACTTCAGTCGCACGTATTTGACGGGGGGACGAGTGTGGTGAGAGCAGGCTGCTAGCCGATTGGTTGGCACTAATCTACGTTAAGGTCTAGGTCACTAATATGGGCCGTGAACAAGGCTGAGTCAACAACCAATCACAGCGAAGTTAACGTGGCAAAATATGATTCGCAGATAGAGAACTCTGTTTGTCAAGGAATCCCGAAACAACCAATCAGAAGCCTGCGTTTGTCTACCTAAACAACCAATCAGATGACTGCGCTTGTCTATAATAATGTTGTCTGAAATATGTCTAAATACGTGTTGATTTTTATAATAAAACGATCTGTTGCCTGGCCCTTGACTTCTGTTGTTACAGTAGTAGTAGTGGTAGTAGTAGTAGTAGTGGTAGTAGTAGTAGTAGTAGTAGTGGTAGTAGTAGTAGTAGTAGTAGTAGTAGTAGTAGTAGCAGTAGTTAGTAGTAGTAGTAGTAGTAGTGGTAGTAGTAGTAGTAGTAGTAGTAGTAGTAGTAGTGGTAGTAGTAGTAGTAGTAGTAGTAGTAGTAGTGGTAGTAGTAGTAGTAGTAGTAGTGGTAGTAGTAGTAGTAGTAGTAGTAGTGGTAGTAGTAGTAGTAGTAGTAGTAGTAGTAGTAGTAGTAGTAGTAGTAGTAGTAGTGGTAGTAGTAGTAGTAGTAGTAGTAGTAGTAGTGGTAGTAGTAGTAGTAGTAGTAGTGGTAGTAGTAGTAGTAGTAGTAGTAGTAGTAGTAGTAGTAGTAGTAGTAGTGGTAGTAGTAGTAGTAGTAGTAGTAGTAGTAGTAGTAGTAGTAGTAGTGGTAGTAGTAGTAGTAGTAGTAGTAGTAGTAGTAGTAGTAGTAGTAGTAGTAGTAGTGGTAGTAGTAGTAGTAGTAGTAGTGGTAGTAGTAGTAGTAGTAGTAGTAGTGGTAGTAGTAGTAGTAGTAGTAGTAGTAGTAGTGGTAGTAGTAGTAGTAGTAGTAGTAGTAGTAGTAGTGGTAGTAGTAGTAGTAGTAGTAGTAGTAGTAGTGGTAGTAGTAGTAGTAGTAGTAGTGGTAGTAGTAGTAGTAGTAGTAGTGGTAGTAGTAGTAGTAGTAGTAGTAGTAGTAGTAGTAGTAGTAGTAGTAGTAGTAGTAGTAGTAGTAGTGGTAGTAGTAGTAGTAGTAGTAGTAGTAGTAGTAGTAGTAGTAGTAGTAGTAGTAGTGGTAGTAGTAGTAGTAGCAGTAGTGGTAGTAGTAGTAGTAGTAGTAGTGGTAGTAGTAGTAGTAGTAGTAGTAGTAGTAGTAGTAGTAGTAGTAGTAGTAGTAGTAGTAGTAGTAGTAGTAGTAGTAGTAGTAGTAGTAGTAGTGGTAGTAGTAGTAGTAGTAGTAGTGGTAGTAGTAGTAGTAGTAGTAGTAGTAGTAGTAGTAGTAGTGGTAGTAGTAGTAGTAGTAGTAGTGGTAGTAGTAGTAGTAGTAGTAGTAGTAGTGGTAGTAGTAGTAGTAGTAGTAGTAGTAGTAGTAGTAGTAGTAGTAGTAGTAGTGGTAGTAGTAGTAGTAGTAGTAGTGGTAGTAGTAGTAGTAGTAGTAGTGGTAGTAGTAGTAGTAGTAGTAGTGGTAGTAGTAGTAGTAGTAGTAGTAGTAGTAGTAGTAGTAGTAGTAGTAGTAGTAGTAGTAGTAGTAGTAGTAGTAGTAGTAGTAGTAGTAGTAGTGGTAGTAGTAGTAGTAGTAGTAGTAGTAGTAGTAGTAGTAGTAGTGGTAGTAGTAGTAGTAGTAGTAGTAGTAGTAGTAGTAGTAGTAGTAGTAGTAGTAGTAGTAGTAGTAGTAGTAGTAGTAGTAGTAGTAGTAGTAGTGGTAGTAGTAGTAGTAGTAGTAGTAGTAGTAGTAGTAGTAGTAGTAGTAGTAGTAGTAGTAGTAGTAGTAGTAGTAGTAGTAGTAGTAGTAGTAGTAGTAGTAGTAGTAGTAGTAGTAGTAGTAGTAGTAGAACAACTGAAGTTTTCAAGTTCATTTCACCATTCATGAAGTGTTTCTTTTTCTGGTGGTGGTGGTTGCGGCAGTGACAGGTTTTGCAAAAACAACCACCACTCATCACTGAATTTAATATTTGAGTACTGTTCAAACACAAATGTCCACTGAATACATTCTATCATAATGAAGAGTTTGAATTTCTAATTTATACCTCAAGTGATGAAGAGTGATGATGAGTTCTCTTCTCAGTGGAGAGTTCTTTGATTCCCCCCTCTGATGATTGATGATCAGATTGATTGTTATTATTATGGAGTAAATATGAGAAATCTGTGCTCTGTAAAATACAGACTGAATTGATGTTGGTCATCAGGTGTCTGTCTGCTTGTGCGTGTGCGTGTGTGTGTGTGTTATATTGTGATCAAATTAATGTTAAAAGGGAGCAGAAGAATGCTCGAATTCCATTTTCATCCGAAGACTAATCAGCAAGGAGATGAGACATTCACAGATTAGATAGAGCCTAAGGTTTTTATGTCTTTTCAACCGTCTTCGTCTTCTTCGGCTCCACCACCATCATCATCATCATCACACAGTAAACGTTTAGGCAATAAAATCAATTTCAGGGATTATCTGTGATCATGGTCACGATCTGAATCGGCTACTATTAAATATTCAACAGCTGTCGTTCACAGCTGCACAGTTTACTTTTGAAATTGAATACGATTCTTAAAATTCTTGATTTCTTGATTTTGATTTTACAAGAACAGATGATGGAACTTTAAGGAGGTCCATGCAATAAGTAACCCACATTGGACGGCTAACTGACAAGCTTCAACAGTTGGTTATCTATCAATCAGTCCAAAAGAAACCTAACTGGATCTCTTGTTGCTCGTGTCCGACGCATGTGCACCTCTGATTCCTTGGAGAAAGAAGAACTATACTTCTCGGAAGAAATCTTAACACAGAACGGATATCCACCAGGATTCATAGACAATACATCAAACAGAAAATCCAGTAGAAACATAGACGCCACTCATGTCAAAAGAGATATTTCATATGAACCTCGAGTTCAGATGAGGCCTAGTCATTTGTGTCCTTAAGAGGAAACTTTCCACTTCTTTAGGAAGAACATTTTTCACGGGATCACTGAGAGTAGCATTCTCCAGTCGCGCACTGACCTGCAGAAACTCAAAGGACAAGATCTCACGCCTGACCGCTTCTATGTGTATATGGATCGGTTCGCTTCTTGCTATGGGAGGTGAGAAAGCAGGAATACGTGCGACGCATGCCAGGATTCTAGAAGATCTTCATTTCGTGGATAGTCTATGTTTCACTCCATAACTCCACAAAAGTTCGACGATCTACAGGCGGAAACCAACAAACTGACCAAATGGGTAGAGAACAAAGACAAAGATTCAATGGAGGCCTTGAGAAGGCAAATTCATAAAGACAACCAGTCACCAACACAATAAGCACCAACCACTATCATCACAAGGAAGAAATCTGAAAATGAATTCATCTCCTTTTGTTGTCTTTCTAGTGAGCTTCTTTTCAACTCCTAGCGGACAGACAGACAGACTGAAGGAACGATGTGAAATCCAAACAGAATTGAAAGGCAAAACAGATGGATTTTCATCTTGCGAACTAACCAGTGCACCATTCGATTTTCAACATCAGAGTTCAACATTAGAAGCATTTCTAACAGGCCATCGAAGAAAAATATCAACAGCTTCCCACTACGCTGGCTGGCTCCATACTGAATTGAAATTCAGGTGGCCAGTGGAAGGAGTCAGTAACTAGAAACTTTACCAGTCGACGAACCAATCACGAATCTATCGCTCAATAAATGTGTGTGTAGGAAATGTACAGATGAGTTGGATGCACGCTAAGAGGACATTGGGAGGACATCAAATGCCCTCGACCTTTGACTGGGTGGAAGGTGAGTAAGGCGTGACTAGTATTTCATTAGTCAGAGGGTGAAATGTTGTAGGTTGTGTTAGGAGGACGACAAGAAGGAGATGTAGGGTAACAGTGAGTCAATCAGCTGAAGAGAATGAAGATGTGCTTTTGAAACCACAAGGTTTCAATCGGAACTCGACGGAATGATAAAGTACTAATATATCCTATTCACTAGAACATGCTTTACAACATACAACATTGAAACCGAAAACCAGGTGGTCGAATACAACTCACCTTCAGTAGAAACTTGTCTCCCCCTGACCAGATCAGATTTATTACCGACAAGATAGATCAATCCAGGCAGGCTTGTCACTGAATTAGTCGTCGTCATCGTCGTCATTTTCTTCGGGGATAACATTGAAAATTGTCGCGTATCATTTAGTGGTGTCAGTGCATTGATGATTAGTCTAGCCGCCTCGAAACTGTTCTCATCATCAATAGCATAGACAACGAGGAAGGCGTCAATACAGTCACGGATTTGTACCTCCTGAGCATAAAAACAAAACCACAAGAAAAAAACATTAGAAGACAGAGGTAAAAGGCGAAATTGTTAGACTGCAAACCGCATGAATGAAGTCAATTTGGATTAGAATTTGAAATGGGTTACCATTGTAACGTTGAACTTAATGACTGTAGTTAACTGACAATAAATTCTGACTTCTATTGTCAGTCGACACCGTGAGATTTTCATCATCAAGTAACACTATTTATAGACGGAGAGATAGGTCAATGAGAACCAGCAGGGAGGTGCACAAGACAGCCAGCTTTTCTACCCTGTATTGGGACTTTTAGTTAGTTGCAATCCACAACCACCACAAAATGAGTCAGCAAAGGCTGCCTATTATCACCAAGGTCGATGATATTTTGAATTGGGGTGGAGCAGAGTTTGTGCCAGACTGTGGTGAGTGAGGAGAGAACAGTATGCTGAGCCACCGATAGGAAAAAACTCTAGGAATTCGCGTGTGGATGATATAAATGTCTAATGTCATACAGACTCGAAGACTTACAGGCGAAGGCTAACAAACAAGCTGAGGAGGCAGTGAAGAAGGTGAAGATGGAGTTGACGAAGATAACCAGCCGACCAACCAACCAACAGTCACAACAACAACAACGACCAGCACCATTCACAATCAACGGGAGAAATTTAACAGAGGCTTTTTGACCTCCAGTTATTAAGGCAGCCATCATCGTTTCAACTACATGCAGATGGCATGGATGAAGATGTCAGCCAACTACAATCACAAACACGAACAAGATATGCGTTCATCAACCTGAAACAAGTTTGTGGATAGTGTTCAAGAGAGTGACAAACAAAACAAGACAAAATATCTGTCCACTGCTCTGTAGTGCACTTCAATGATCTCCATTTAAACTGATGCTGACTTGTGACGATAACTTGACAATTGAAATCGGTCCCAATCCCCACTAAACTTACCGTCTGAATCCACTTTGTTTTTTACACACACACACGCACACACACACACAAACCGCCTACATAACTGTCCAGCTTCTGAATGAAAGAAATAAGGTGAGGAAGAGACCTCCTCGCTGATTTATCTCTTCTTAAGTAGACGACTGTCTGAATGTAGCAGTCAGTGTTGAAATCTAGTGGCTTTTCTAAATGAATCCTGATTTTCAGCTTATCAATCAAGTGACTACTGCAAAATAAACTGGGAATTTCTTTCTATAGATGGACATCTCAGTTTTATGCTTTGTTCCGTTTTGTTTTCCATGAAATATTTACGGAAGTAGGTCATTCAGGAAACAGCTCAAACTCTGATAGTGTAGACAACATGAAGGTTTCAGCCTTGTTACTTTTAAACGGCAAAACATTCAAGGCGTAAATAAATGGTGCAACTGTACTTGTGGTAATTATGGCATAAAAAGTGACCCAGATATTATCTACCTACCTACTTACCTAACTACATACCTACCTAACCATCTACCTAACTAACTGTCTATCAACCTATTGGGTAATTTACCTACGTGCCGACGTGCCTTCCTAACCATCTACATAATGGCTTAGCTACCCACGTACCACATACGTAATCGTCTAGCTACATGCTTACCTAGTTAATTACTGACCTGCCTGCCTGCATATCTACCTACCCACCCACCTATCTACCAACCTACTGACTCAGCCACATACCTACATCTTTGTTTAATCTCTGTCCGGAGAGAGAATAATCGCATTGCTCTAGCAAATTCCGTTAAGAGTTATATACTGAATAAATAACTACTGTGAGAAATAGTATCCCTGCTATCTGTTGTTTATAGGGGGATGTTTTAAACGCCATGTGAGTGTCTACGTAGAATCGATCGAATAGTGTTGTTTGTTTGTTTTTGCAGCAGGCACATCGCTAGTCTACTCAAATTCCGTTGTCTACTCACACACACACACACTAAAGGGATATTTGGATTATGTAGACTGCTGGGCGGGGAGAGGGAGGGGGCGTGAAACTTTAGACACTTACTTATACATGATATGTTATATCTATGTTATATATATCACTGGGTTGATATTGGTTACATGAATGTGTGAATGTGTGTGTGTAATGAATTGTGAATTCCTCATTTCCGAAAACAGGAGTATTCACATTGGACCTTCAGGTTGACAGTTGTGCAGACTTTAAGAGCACTGAAACACGACATTAATTGAACATATATTTGCTTCTGACTAGGTCTTGGTGAAGGAATGTTCACTTTAGAAATTAGTACGTCTATATAGCCAATAGTCTGTAGTCCCCTGGCATCAATGAACCATAAGCAGAGATCTTCTGTGTGTTGTGCCTTCTACTTACGACTTTCCTTCATGTTGTGTTTCTTTGTATTCCCTTCACATCTCTCCCATGTATCTCTGCACAACGCTGTATCATTTGCCTTCCCTGACATTAATTACATCCACCTCCTATTCGACGCTGATATGCCAGCCGATGAACGCCTCTGTTTATATGTATACTACTGATAAATTTTATCAGTAGCACTCGACACAATAATTTGATTGGTGAAATTTTCACCACAGCCAACCAACCTTATGGAAGTCAAATTATTCAGACCCCTACAGAAGGTGATTTGTAAACAAAAAAGCGATAATTTTTGCTGAAATTCAACTATATACTACTGATTAACTTAGATGAGTAGTAGTCGTAGTAGTAGTTGTATATCATTCATATCAACCAGGAGTGGTCGCTTGTTTCAATGAGACACAGGTAGTATATTAGCTCTATTATCAAACACATATGGTGATAGGCTGGCTATAGGACACGCTGAGCCTCTTCGACGACGACGCTGCTGATACGTGTACATATGTCAACATCTAGGCTTGTTATGTCTTTCAGCATTTAACCAGCGTTTGCTTGTTTCCAGAGTAGTGTAATCATCGCTGGTATCACAGTCTCTTTCAGGAGATTCACAATTTCACGAAACATATTTGAAAAGAGAGAAAACACTGAATTTGATGCCAGAGAATTTCTGGAAGTGTTTGATTGGTACTCCGATGAATCCATCAGAGATTAACAAACACGCACACACACACATTACTATAGTTGAAATTTACCAACTCATACAGCAGAAATCACAAGAGAAGTGAGAAGTTCAATTTGGTTCAAAGTAGTCAGCACTGATCATCAATGAAGATGTCAGTTGACAAGTAATTACTGGTAATGAGTGTTTGTCACACAAGATACAATTAATGTCATCATTCATGTGAAGAATTCAAACAACAATTTGACGCCGATGTTCCCCACTCGAAAGATGTGTAGTAAAAAAGTGAATGAAGTCTGTATGTTTGTTTCTTAGTTATTTAGTGAAATGGCTAGTAAGTGAGTTAGTTAGTTAGTTGGATGGCAAGTTAGTTAATTATTTTTTTTTTGATTTTGTTGTGTTCTCTGAGCTTACGAAGCTGTCATTGACCTACTACGCAACGTCTTTAGAGTTTACTTCACTTTGACTTCAAATTGAAGATGTTGTTGTTGTAGGCCAATAAAAGCTGCACAAAAAATAACCATCCAGCTCAGAGAACACAACCACATCAAAATCATCCACCTGAGCCACAAATCTTCTCCACCTTCTTTAGCTAGTTAGTTAGTTAGTTAGTCAGTTAGTGAGTTAGTTAGTACCAAGCCATGTTTTCAGCTGTCCACCCCTGCGACATCGCCAAGATAAAATGGAAATGGCGAGGGATTTAGAACTGATTTGACCACATCGTCATCTGGTCGGCCGAAAACATCGCCAAACCACCGAAATCGACGTTGTTTGACCAGTACTGGTTGATGTTGGTTGATGTTGTAGAGAGTTCATGAAGTTTCATGGGAATCAGGTACGAGTGATGTCCCCAGAATCGCTCGGCCTTTTCTTTGTGAGTGCAGCTCTAGCCATTACACAACCAATCAAGTGTGACCTCCTACAAGGCAGTAGGAGTGGAGTAGGGAGTCGACTATCCATTGTCAGCCAGCCGGTGACCAGAGTCCGGTTCATACGCCTTTTTGAATGGGGCCAGACATGCACCAGGGCATCCAATAAGCTCTTTGTCCATACGTCTGCCTACGGGTGAGCTCCGCTCTGCTGAGCTTCATACGCCAGTCGTTGGAGGTTTGGAATCAGGCAGGGTCTAGCCATCTCCCCTAGACTGTCATCCACTGGACAGTCAACCCGGTGAAGAGCGCCGGTCATCCGCTTTTGCCCTCTCACTTCGGTGAATAAAAAACGCCTGCGCCACGTGAAGGCAGTGAGGACTGAGGACTTCCTCAGGAGAGGCTATGTAAGACGCCCTGTCATATGGGAGCATTTGAAGAGGTGTACGGAGGGGTGACCAGCCCTCAGCGCAATGCACCCACCCCCGACCATTCTGAGGCTTTGAAGGCGTGTTGTATGACCCACCTACTACCAGTGTGTTAGGAAGATAGAAACATATTCAGTCTAACAATTAACAAGTTAATTCCCATTCGCAGAGTAGAATGCAGTAGTTAGTTTGTTAGCTAGTTGGTTAGTGAGTTAGTTACTTAGTTGGCTCATTAATGAGTTAGTTAGTTAGCTGGATGGCTTGTTAGTTAGTCGTTTAGTTAGTTAGTTAGTTTAAATTAAATTAATTGGTTACTGCGTTAGCGAGTAAGTTAGTTAGTTAGTTAGATGGCTAGTTAATTAGCTTGTTCAAGGTTAGTTATTTACTTATTTATTGATTCAGTTAGTTAGATTGCTAATTACTTAGCTAGGTAGTTACTTAGTGAGTTGTCTAGTTCACGGTTAACTTAGTCAGTTAGTTAATTAGTTGTCCAAGCCATTTATTTTAGCTTCCAAACCATCAAAATTTGGTCGCCTGTTTTCAAAGAGTCACTTAAGGTCATTCTGTCTTTCGTATTCCTCGTTTTTGCGTGTGCGTGTGTGTGCATGTGTGTGTTTGCGTGATCCAACTAAAATCTTGATATCTTCAGATGAAGATAGTTGACCTTTCTGTTAATTAACTCGCATCACTCGTATTCATAGATTCAC